GGGGGGCGGGGAGGGGGATGACACAAAGAAGCGAACCGCGCAAAATTCGATTCTCGCAGCGAGATCGTCTGGTTCCCGGACAAACGCGCGCGCGCGCGCGCGCATGCAAACAACACACGGGGGACAACAGAGGCGGCCGTAACGAAGATAAAGGTTTTCGTTCACGGTCGATCGCGAGCACTGCGATTCGACGATTCGGTCGCACGTGTATATATGTTTGCGGCGTGCACGTACAGAGAGGGTGATAATGTATTCAAGGTCCGCCCCGTGAGTTGCGTGGTGGGGTGAAACGGGGCGGCCCGCGCGCTATATAGGTACTCTGTAACAGATGTTAATTATCCCTTCTGTATAGCCGGCGAAAAAAGGAGCTCGCGCTCGCTCGCGCGCAGCTCCTTCCTCGCGGGCAAGAGCTCGGACATATCCGTCCGATCGTATACACGCTGCTGCTGCGCATCCCCGCTCGTCCGGCGGCAGCGCGTGTGTTCTCTCGCGGCTACGCCTAGCGCGTTCGCGCCAATCGGAGGGCGCGCTCGACTTCGACCGACCCTACTGCCGATTATTATTCGCACGAATCTTTCTGCTCAAATCTGCTCAGATCCGTTGATGCGCCGATGCAGAAATAACAACAGGTCGGGAAGAATTGCGCACAATTGCGACGGAATTTTTTTTATTGCAATCGCGCGTCGCACATGTGCGCGCACACATGTTCGTTTGCCTGAACGGAAGTTTTCTCGTTTAAAAAAATCCGCCGTTTGAGAAGTAAAAGCGATTACGCGGCCATGCAAAAAGATTGGAAACACAATCTCTTTGATAATGTAATTAGATGTTATTTTTTTTTTCGAATGAAATTTTTGTTGCTCGCATCGAAGTCGCTGAACTGAAGAGGTTCGAGGATTCTGAAATACTTAAGAGGATTACACGTATTCGCGTACCGATCAAGGATTCGCCCGAGATTTACCGCTGAGAGAGGCTCAGGTTCGCGCCGACGAACACGTGCACCATCCGAGATGACAGCGACTTCTCCATTGACACTGCGGACAGCGGTGTGGCGGCCAGCCGCGGTAGCAAACCGGGTTGATCTTTCGAGGACCGGTTGGAGTTACCGGTCTGAATGGCGGTCTGTGCGGTGTGCGCGCAGCACAATTTGCGCTTGATCGAGAAGGCAATAGAGAAAGCCCTCGTGCATCAAGCGGCCGATCGGCACGACAGGCTGGAATTACGGCGCGTGTCGCTGATTCCGCGGCGCGGCGCGGTTCGATAACCCTGAGTGATGGTGGCTCCTTCTACTTAAAGGTTAATTATTTACGGCTCGGCTCATTAGTCCGTCGTGATCGGTAATTATCATCGAAGGCCTGGCTCCGCGACGTGTTCTTATCACGCGATCGGTTGAGCTTGAATATCGATGCGACACGCGCGCACACCTCCGCGCGTTTTATTATTTCGCGCGTTGTATTATTTCGATTTACACGAGAATTTTTCAATCACATCCGCCGCATGGGTGAAAGAATGATAACAATAACACGCTGTTTCTTCCGCGTGAACAACAGAGCGGATCAAACGCGATATGTCGTCGTTAAGAGACAAGACCGCGTGGCGCGTATCAAAAAGCCGACGATATGTCGTCGTCCACTCGTCGACTGCTTATCGGCTTTTGTTTGTCACGAAGATGATTTCTGTGTATGGAACAATACGATTCCGATATATCTCTTCCGGGTCAAATCTTATCCTTCTTCAAAAAACCGGCAAACTAGCGACAATCGTAACCGATTGCGCAATAAACAACAACAACGACGACGATGATGAGCGAGGCGGCGGAAGCTGTAGAAGAAGTCATTTTCCAACGGATTGAAATTCCATTTGGCCGTTTCTCATTGCGCGAGAGCCAAACCCTCGAGAGAGACAGAGAGAGAGAAAGAGAGAGAGAGAGAGCCGAGTGTGAGAGCCATGAAATGACAGTTAGTGCGCGCGGGTATAACACCGAGATAAACTCTTTCGATTGGTCGGGACGTTAATGCTTATCACGCCGTGTGTCTGCGCTCCGCGTCTTTTTATTGTTCCTTTCTCATTACTCATTTTTTTCTCTTCCTCTTTTTTTTTTTATCTCCCTTCGTCGGTGATTCGTTCTCTCCTTCTCGCCTCGACGTGTCTCCTTGCTGCTGTCGCGCGCGCGCTCGTTCTCCTTCTTCTCTTCTCTTCTCTTCTCGAGCTGACTGACTGCCGCGCGACGCCCCGCGCGTGTAATGGGCTTAAAGGTCTGCATTCCAATAACTGAGAAACGAATTGTCCGTGCGCGCGTTATCGCGCCTTGCCTTGGTCGTTCGCTCGCATCGAGACTTAGCTCGGCTTGCGAGAGAACCGGCGCTCGTATATCACCGTAGGCTTTTGTTACGGCGACGTGCCTTTGTTTTCGCCTCGTTTTCGTCATTTACTCTTACACCGCGCGCGCGCTCCTTCCTCGAGTCTAATACGAACTTTACAAACGTCGTCGTCGTCGACGGGCGCGTTAAAGTCGTCTCGAACGTCGTTCTCGAGAACGGGGGTTTGTGATTTTATTGCGGCCGAATTGCCTCGCGATCGAGTCGAAAATATAATAATTTATCGCGCGACACACACACGCGCAATTGCGATTCTTCAATTTAAGCGCAAACATATATTCAATCGAATTATTACGCGCCGCTTGTGTTATATGTATCACAAGACGCGGAGAATTGCTTCTCAGAGCTCTCTGCGAGTCCCCGAAATATACGATCAATAAATTCCCAAGTTCATCAAATATAGAATGTGAACTTAAACGCGACGTTGTTTTTTTGTTTGTCTTTGTTTCAGGATGCGGTGAAAAGCTGGCTGGTTCGCGAGGTTCGTCATGTCCGCCGTAACCAGCCCGTATGGCCACGGTAAGATTTAGTTTAATGCTTTGGAGAAACTAAGCTCTTTGAAACTAAGAGATTATTGCACCTTAGAATCGCTCCCGGCGCCAAAAACTTATAAATATCTTGACGCGAATGTGACACACACACACATATATACGTTGCATAATAAATTTGTAGTTGAATTGCATCAGTGCGTTTGAGATAACAGCTGCAACTCCTCACCGAATACTTTTGATTCGCAACGCGCGGAATGTTCGAGACGGGAAATGGGGAAGGCAGGTCCCTCTCCTTTCCCCCCATCCCCATAACTATACAATACATATTGTTATGGCCGACGACGAGTCTCCGCAATTGCGCTAAGAATTCATCCTACGCGCGGATCAAAGCGATCGTTTCTGGCGCGTCCGTGGTGAGAGTGAAAGCGAGGAAGTTGTCTCTGTTGTCGCGTCGCGAGAGAGACACACACGCGCACACACGTGCGACATTTAACTTCATGAAACTATCGGGCTAAATATGCTATGCCACCGGCATTCCGAGAACGGTGCGCTTAGAAGCCCGCGTTCGAGCTCGCGGGATTGTTGTGTAATTGACGCGCTAAAAAGTTGATATCTATTAACCGAGATATGAGAACAAAGTCGTCGCCTTGAAACGCTGATGGTAAATTTGTTACGCGAAATTAGTGACCAGTTGTCGCCTCTCTATCCTCTCAAAGAAAATATCGTCGAGAGACGATTTCGCGCGCGCGCGCGCGGATTGTCCTTGCTCCGTTCGGTTGCAAACGGTGATGTGTGTTTTATTTAGTAACTCGAGAGATTCAAAGTCCGAGTTGCAAAGAAATAAGTTGCAATTTTCTTTTGCGATAAAACAGTTCGAAAGAAAACAGCAGACTTGCTTCGTTCGCGCGCAGATGTCATTGATATCGGTCGTAAGAAATCAAACGTTATTAGAATTAATTAAAACAGCGGCTTATATGACGAGGCTCATCCGAACACACGAACGAAGACGGCGATCGAATAAATTCCGTCTTTCCGTCAGCGGAGATGCTTTCCGACTCGGTCTACAACTACGCGACGACCCGACGGGGCGCCGCCGCTGATCAGGACAGCGACCAGTACGAGACGCAGACCCAGTTGCAGATCACCAGCGGTATCCAGAGCAAGCCGCGAAACAAGCGGAAAAACTTCAAGCCCATAAGCAGCCGGATGGCGGAGGTATCCGACGAATCCGAGAGGGACGACGACGAGCCTGAGATCGTGGAGGAGAGCGAGATTCTCGAGTACGAGAGGAAAACGATGCTGCTGCCGGCCGAGGAGAGATCGAAGCAGAGGTTAAACAACAACGAGGTCAGTCCGATAGACCTCTCGGTCAGCACCAGGCCGCCGTCCTCCGAGGCCGACGACGATAGCGGCGATTCTCTCAGGCACAAGTTCATCCTCGAACAGCTTAGGTCGCAGAAGTTGTATTCTCCTGGTGCCGAGGTAGGTTCAAAGTCGATCGAGATAATATTACGAAGTTTTTATTTCGTTCGTTTCCATTTTAAATTATTTACTACGTACAATGCACGTACATTGCATTGTGTTTTTTTCTTCTTTGTCTCATTGCTTTTGTTTCGATCAATCGCGCAAAACTCTCTCGAGCTAAGTAACTTTGTTAAAATTAATTTCGATGGTTTAATTAAATTTCATGTCAAGGATGTTCAGGCGAGAAGTCCGAACTCCGACTCGTCCGAACGAAGCGGGAGCGGCGTTCTCGACGCGGAGTCGTCTCGTCTGGACGATCAGGACACCCAGTTCGAGGATGACCGGGGCAACGACGTCGACGGCGAGGTCGAGGTCGAGCGAAGGCCCTTCGAAGGCATGAGGGAGTACGCTGAGTCAACGATGCAGGAACTTCTGGCGATCTACGGACTGGCAGGAAACGAACTCGCGAGGTCGGTCAGCAGGCAACTGCCGCCCACGTTTCTCAATCCGAATGCTGGTCAGCAAGCTCAAGGTGAGTGTTGCACATTCCAAATTCGAAACGATTGTTGACGGGTTTGGTGATGATCCGATCGAACAACTCACGTAACAGTTTGTAAAAAAAAAAAAAAAAAACCAGATGTGATCGATCAATTTTTAATAACCACACAATTGCGAATATTTTAAATCATTGGGTTATATATAAAAAAAAAAAAGTCAAATTGATCTCGACTTTCAAGGCGTTAAGTGACTGTCAAAGTCTTTCAACTTGTCCGCGAAGTAATGGGGACAATTTTGAGAGTCTATTTTTTAATTTTTTTTTTTTGTTTTTGCAATTAGAGTCCGCCCGTATTAGCATCCGACGGAATAGTCGGGCAAATCGAAATCACGCGGATTGGTTGGCATTAAATTCGGACTCGGCGCGAACTTGTGAGCGCGTTGGCTCCGACCGGTTGACGTCCGCGATCAAATTTGGCCGAGGATCAATTCCGCGCCTAAGTTGCTAAGATTTATCGATCGACAAAAATTCCTACATGTGTTTTATGCAGATTCGTTGATTCGCTTGCCTCGCGCAACAATAGATAGCGGTTTGATCGTTTAATCTCCGGCGAGTTTATTTTTCCGGCGATTCGTCGGCGAAAAACGAATCGTTCATTGCTTCGCCTGCTGGTAGCCGCGATGGTCGCTCGATACAATATGAATTAGAAGCCTCTCTGCCGAGCAACGGCGCGGCGGCGGCGGTTACGTCAGCCCGGCATCGCGATAAACGAATGCACTTCTCGAGCGATACGTGCACGGACGACGACGACGACGGCGGGGGCTCTCTCCGTTCGAGAGCACCGCGGCTTTCAGCCGGGACTGTACGTGCACCAGAACAGAATGTGGCACTTACATATTGCCGGTGCATCGCATATGTGCGCACGTGAATATGTGATGGCTCTCTCGCAAGATGGCCGACTTATAACTCATAAAAGTCGGCCGGTCCCGGCTGTGTGCGCTAAGCGTCGACCGCCCGACCCCGCGATCGATGGATGCCTTCGAGATCAGCCAGCGTCATCGTTTCCCGTTGCGACCTGATGCGTGGGTTGACGCGCTCTCGAGAAATTCCCCGCGGTTCGGAATTCTCTCGAGCAAGCCGCGTGTGTGCTCGTGCGCGTTATTTCCTCATTAGCACCTTCGGCGCGAATTGCGCATTTGTCGAAAGCGGTGTTTTTTTTTTTTTTTTTTTTTTTTACGTTTCGGAACATCGACGTCCGAATGAAAGCGAATCGAACACCGACCCGATTGCAACGAATCGCGAGTTGGTTTTTTTTTTTTATTCAGTGTGCAAATTTTATTTACAGTTTAAATTGATACGTGTTCCATAACGACGGAATTAGAACAATGTGTGATTTTTAATCGATGAATAATTTATGTATGCAAATGTGTTTAGACATAAATAACTGTTTACAAGCTTAAACACGTCGTGTACAAACTGTTACTTCGCGAAAACATAACGACGTTATTATATTAAACCGTAGGTTTCGAAAGAAAGAGAGAATATTTCTCGCGTTTTCACTCGCATTGTGTCTCGCGTCGTGTTTCCCAACTGGTAGGCCACCTACGTACAGGTGAACGAAGAACAAAAGCCGCGCTCCGTTGAGGCACGATGTGTCGTTGCGATTAATACAAAAAAAAAAAAATCGTAATTTATCATGTAAAAGAGCTTAAAGCGGCAACGCCGTGTATATTGACAATGACGTTGGATAACGGCAAAAAAAAAAAAAAAATTGAGTGACACTTAGACACAAACGTCATTCGCCTCTGTGAACCTCGCCTCGACAATCTTACAAACAAATAAGTATGTTGTGCATCTAATTGTGTTTCTCTGAGCGTGTATCATCGTTTCGCGTTTAATAGAGAAGAAAAATCGCGCATTCTCTGTACATATATATATATATAAAACACCTGGAAACACCCGTGACGTCACAATACTTATTATTGTTTCTTTTTGTTTTTTTTTATCGGCTAAAAATTAATTTACGTTTGCCATCTGTAATAATCTCTGTTGTTTTTTTTAACGTTTATTTCACGGACAATTCCTCACAACAATTGTCCATCCGTCCGTACTTAATCGCTCCGTTTTACGGCGCCGCGATATTAAAGCGATATATATAGAGAAAAGGTGTGTACAATCCGGTGTTGTACAATCGCCGAGCGAGCGGGGATAGGGCGATAATCTGGCGCGAAGAAAACCAGAAAACTCGCGCGGACAAGAGAGAGACGGACGACGCCACAACTCGAAAGGAAAGGGTTTGGTGGTTGAGAAGTGACGGGGGAAAAAGAGAGCGAGAGAGAGAAAGAGAGACATACATAGTTGCCTCCGTGAACCCATTAATCATTCCACCCGGATAAAAGGCACTAAGGATGAAAAGAGAAGACGGACAGTCGAACGGACAGCGGGCAGGCACGCAGCAGACACTGGAAGAAGCGGATGGAAGCGAGAGAAAGGGAGGAAATCTCCTCTTCTCTCTTTTTCTTTTTGAACCCCGCTTCCTATCGCGCGAGCGCGAGAATCATTTTTTATTTTTGTCCTTTTCGAAATTCGTCGGACGCTTCGCCATTGTCAGGACTCGCGGAGGACTCTCGAGAGACAGAGAGAAAGAGAGAGAGAGAGAAAGAAAGAAAGACAGGACTCTCTTCACGGGGCCCCCGGGCATCGTCCCGTCGCACACGGGGCCAGATTCATTAACTGATAGCACACACGATTCCACCGGCTCGATTACGTTTTTTAACGATATCCGTCCGCGTTGGAAGAATGATCGTCGAATGCCACCCGTCGGGCGAGAAAATCCGCTTCGTCCTCGAAATCGAGGCTCCTCGCTCGGCGATCGACAGACATACAGGACTATCCTTTTTCTCTCTCCTATGTATTGAGACGTCTAATTTAGCAAAGCCTTAAGAGGTTTTACATCGACGTTACACACACCGCGTGATTATTCGCATCTCGGGGAGATGCGCAAACGTGTTTGAGGCAAAAGGAAAAGTTTCTCGAGAGACTTTCTTACCTGATCCAGTTGTTTCCCTTGATATCCTGATCGCGGCGCGACATACAAAACCGCGCTCGAAAAAATATCGAGCGCGTGTCTTTTAAAGAAAACCATTCGACAAAAAGTTCTCTCGTTACGAAAAAAAAAAAAAAAAAAAGCGAGACCTTTTCTTCCGCGACCGCATATATATCGGAAGAAGAAGAAGAAGAAGGAACAGCCGCCGCGCGGACCCTTCGTTAAGAGATGCCGGGATTCAAAAAGCCAGCTAACTCGACCGCTATTCAACGAATCTGTCGTATCTGCTGGTCGGGTTTAATTCGAGACGTCGGTAGCGAGGTAAGGAACGGGGAGGGGGGAATTGGCGTATTAAGAAGAGGGGGGAACGGCGGAGAGGAGAGTCTCGGATCGGCCTGGTTACGACGTGCTTTTATGTCTCAGAGTACGCGCGTACCTCGCTCGGGCACGTATGAGTTTGAGGGTATGACGACGAGAGAGATCTCTATTCTCGAGGACGAATCGTCGTCGTTGCGAGAGATCGAAATCGGAGCTTCCTTCTCGAACGGGAACAAAGACAACGCGAAGCGTTGAGCATTTCAGGCCTTGTTCTCGTTGGCCAACCGCCGTGTCGGAGACACACGGAGAAAGAGAGAGAGGTTTTCCACGAAATATTTACGCAGAGATCGAAAACCACACAATTGAGAAAAAAATTAATTTAAAAAATTGTTTCGAGAAAAATCACGTGATTCCGCGCTTCTCTCTCGTTAGGTGGAGGTGCAATTTTTTTTTTTTTCAATTCTTTACATCTCGCGAGAGAAATATTTTGTTTTTTTTATCTCTCATTAAATTTTCATGACAATAAATGAAAAAATGCGTGTATCTCGACCGAGAGAGATTGTTATGGTTCTTCTTGTCGCGCGCACGTGTACAGAGAAAATATAGGAGAAAAGAAAAGATCGGCGCGGAGATCGCGGCGAGGATCCTTGCGAGACGTTGATCATCAGACGCTGAATTCCCTCGGTACGACGAGATCGTGAAACGTTTTATGAAAGCTTTTATGAAAGGCTTTACGAGCCTCGGACCGAACTCGGGGGCCCCGAAGAGTTCGCTTCTGCTACACACGTGCAGCCACGGGGACGAGCTGTTGTGCCCCCCTGAAGCCCCGCGGGGTCTTACGAGCGCGCACCGCTCGCGTTCTCTTCTTCTCTCTCTCTTCCTCTCTCTTTATCTTTCCCCACTTCGCGCCGTCTCTACGCCGAACGAGCCGAGTTTTCTCTATCGATCCTCGAGAGCGCGCCTCGTTTTTCATCATCATCATATCCAATCGTTGATACCTCGTTTCTCGCTCGATCGCGTTTCTTTCTCGTCGATTTTTCTCCTTTTTTACGCGCTCTTCTGTTCTCTCCTCGGGCTCGTTTCATTGCCGATATTTTCTGTCCGATAAAATTTTTCCCGACGTCCGAAACGCGTTTCGGGATTCACGAGTACACACCGGAATGTTGATGTTGCAAAAGAAAACAAACAACGCAATTTTTGTCTTTTATTTCATTTTATGATCAATTTGATCAGAGACGCGCGTTTTTCTACCGCCATTCGTACGATCGTCGTCGTCGTCGTCATCGTCATCGTCGTTGTCGTCGTACACGCGACGTTGATGTCCGCTTCCGGGTCAATTGGATCTCCTCAGCTTTTTTGTTCTCCAATTAAGTTCTGAGTCAGAGAGCGGCAGGAGGGGAGGACGGACGGTAAAGTTCTATTGACGCGGTACAGTCTTTGCAGTTGACTCGCGACGATTTTACGTACTTCGAAACTTGTCTTTTTTTTTTGTTTTTTTTGTTTTTTTTTGTCCCTCACGTCGATATTGACATCGTTGATGGAAATCGTTAACGAGCTTGTCTGCGTCACGAGGCGATTATTTACGAAGATCGAAGAATTTTTCTCTGTCATTTATAAATTGACGTATCGTATGAACTTTAACACGCAGACCCTTGAGATGTGAGAAAGAATG